ACACACACACACACACACATTTTGTTCCATCTTCTTAGCGGCGAAGGACCAATAAGGTGCTTCATTGAAACGAATGGACCCGAACCCTGGCACCCCCGTCTCATCTTCTTCAGGGGTGCCCGCTACTGCGGCGACTACTTCTATTGTTGCTGCTACTTCTGCCGCTGCTTCCTCTTCCCCGCCACCGCTTGTGTCCGAGACGCGAATGGAGGTGATCCAGAGGACACTGCAGTTACTTCGGGAGGAAGTACTCGTGCCGTACTACGAGCCGGTCGAGCGGCTTCGTGTGACGAACAACCGCGCTGTGAGTCTGCAGGACCTCGTGGAGACGTTCTACAGCGCATCCTTCGAGAAGAGCACTTCCGTGTGATGCCACTCTCCGGATTGCCAGTTGGTCTCTGCTGGTCGCATAGGTGTTGGCCTTGGTGTTCATGTGTGCAAGCTACACCCATGCATGCCTAGGGGGAGGGATCATGTACTCCTCATTCTCTTTTCTTTTCTCAACTCTATTTCGCTTTGCTTATTCCTTTGTCGCGTGCCAGCACCAGCCAACGCAATAAAATCAACACTACCTAGAAATTGGCCTCGGATGAATGCTGAAGGCGCCATTCATCCGCAAAACGGTCGCCGAGCGTGCGCGTCTCGCGGTGCCGCTGGAATACCGCCGTGACGGCTGCCGTAGAAGAGCCGCGCGGATTGCCGCGGAGCTGCAGCATATCGGCAGCCACCGCAGCCCGTCCGCAGCTGTGGGTGCACCTCCATCTTTGGCCGCGTGGCTGTACCGCTCGTGTCTGCTGCGCCGGCTTCTGCGTGAGGGCGTTGTGTGCGACGCGATGGTGGCAGATGGGATCGCCGCACGCGACTTTACGGCACTATTGCACCGGGTTGTACGAACGCCGCATAGCCTGCGCGGCGGGGGTGGCGACGCAGTAGAAGGGAGCGTTGTTCAGCTCGTGTGGGGTGTGCAGAGAGAGTTTCTGCAGTGTGTTCTCAGCGCTGTGGTGCAGCAGCAGCAGTGGCCGTGGACGCTGCAGGAGGGGTGGGATTGTGCCACAACGTTGGTGGCGGATTGCATTCGCCCCGATGACGTCCTGTGCGTTGCGTTGCTGCTGCCCCTGGCACGTCGCATGGTGGCTGCAGATTGCGACGGCTCTACACTCCGTAAAAGCCTGCATGAACTTCGGGTTCGAAAGGTGCACGGGGGCATACTTTGGCTGCTGGCGCGGCGTGCCACAGTTTCTCCTCGGCCTGATCCGCAGTTGCTGGAGGCCGCGATAACAGCTGCGTGCGCCGCACCCTCTCATGCACTCCTGGTCACATCCGAATCTGATCAGGACGGCAGCAGAAGCAGCAGCGGCACCACTAACGACAGTGAGAACGAGGAGCGGCTTCTCTCACTGCTGTTGCAGATGCCTTCCAGCATTGGTGTTACTGGGCGAGGGAGTAGTTTTTCTCCTTTTTGGCATGTCCTCTTACATGAGATTGCCTGTTATGCTCATAACGTGCTTGACGACAAGAGCGTAACAGATGCGGTGCGGGTAGGCGCCTTTCTGTCACTTCGTCGTGTCATCTGCTCTTTTCGCCGCCACGGCCGCGTGCGTCCGGTGCTGGAGCTACACAACACCATTATAGCGCCATGGCGAGAGCGGCCCCAAAACGACCCATCTGCTGCAGCTGGACGCTGTGGTCCTCTTGTGTACCGTGAGGCGATGCTGCTGGACGCATACACGCTCATGACACTCGGCCACATTGGGGAGACGGCAATCGATGTTGACGAGGCGGCGGCACACGAGATGGCAGCAATTCAGGCGCGCTGTGTGGCTCACCTCGACACTCTCGCACGGAGTGAACCGTCCGCCGGGGCCGACCGCGACGCCGTCGGGCTGCACCGTGGTGCACGAGCAGGGATCGTGCGGCGACTGCACGAAGGCATTCGACTTTCCTTCAAGCTTCTCCTGCGCCGCGGTGACCATGTGGCGATTCAGCGCCTCCTCACCCGATGCCCCGCGCTCGGCGGCTCGTGGGAGGGCGGCAAGGCGCTCGTGATGCTCGGCAGGTACGCTGAGGCGGTAGACGTATTCACGCAGTTCCTTGAAAGCACGCGAAGACACTTCTCTGGGGGCCTACCGCATCATATACGCAACATAATGCTGGAGGCGGTGGAGGGTGCCGCATGCAGTTGCATCAGCGACGGCAAAACCCGAGTGGTGGAGCGATTGCTTGACTTGTACGAGCAGACGCGGAGGTGGTCGTTCCCTATACCCGCTGCTGTGGCATTCGCCGCCATCGTGCGTAGCTTCATTTTGCCAGACGAGACTAAGTTGTGCATGGCGACGCCGGAGCGCTTGGAGTTGTTGAGTACTCTCCTGCACCGCCGCGTGGCGAATGCGGCGTACAAACGCGACGGCCTTCTCTTAGAGACGGTGGAGGTGTACACAACACTGCTTGCTGAGTGCCGAGATACGGTGAAGACGTCGCACTTTGATCTGCTGTTACTGCTGCAGCATGCGCAACCCGGGCTGCCGGTGTACCGTGTAGCACTACTGCAGTTTCTGCACCTGAACTACGAAGATGGCGTGAATGCTGTGCTGCAGCATATCGTACCAATGTCCCCTGACGCAACAATTTACCTAGCACTCCTGCAGGAGCTGCCACTGACGGCACTAGAGACTCTCTCGCGTCATGTGGCGGAGTCAGCAGGGGGAGATCGGCGGGTGGTCTCCGCTGTTACGAACGCCTTGGAGTACAAACACTTTGCGGATGAGCAGCGACAGCCATGGCAGTGTTACCTCTGTAGGCAGTGGAACAAGAAACACGCAACGGCGTGCAGGCGGTGTGGCTCGCTGGAGCTTGCTGTGATCCACTGCCGTGCGTGCGGGGGTTTTTCGCCCACCAGCTCCGCCGCCTGCCTGGTGTGTGGCGCCGAGACTCAGCAGCACACTAGTGAGCACGGTGAACTTCGTGCGAGGGATGAGAGCACCGTTTACCCACTGCGTCGTTGGCGCTGTGCCCGCTGCAACCACACAAATGAGCCACAACACATATTTTACTGCGCCAAGTGTGGCTCCGCTCAGCCGACAATGGAGAAGGCCTTGACGCAGACAGCGTTCGATTGCGGTGCGTGCGGTCGACATAACCCAATGGGGCTCCTGCGCCCGTGGTGCCCGTCCTGCGGTACGCTGAGCGCAGTTGCTTCGGCAGGCCCATCAAAGACGCTGTGGCGCTGCGTAGAGTGCGGCACACTGAGCCCGTGGCTTCTTACGCACTGCCACGGCTGCGGCGGCGCGAAGCCGGCACCAACGGCGCGTCTCGACGCTCCATGGTACACACGCGCCTGCTTGTCCTGCAGCGCGACGAATCCCGCGTGGAGTGTTGTTTGCCACAGTTGCGGTACATCGCTCGCTGCTCCGAGCACTGCTGATGATATTGATCGTGATCACGCTGGGGAACTGAATGGTGCATGCGGTGCTATTGTAGACCCCACCTACACGTCGTGCCCACATTGTGGCAGTGTCTACGCCAATAAAAGCGACATAGTCTGTACGAAGTGCTTTGCACACCGTCCATATGCTGCGTGCACGCTGTGGGTGTGCCTGCGTAACAACTGCATGGAAGTGAATCTGCAGAGGGGTGGGGGCGGAGGTTCACTGGTGTGCAGTCACTGCGGCGCCACACACAACGTCGCCGCTGTCGGTGGTTATCAGTCAAACCCACTGAGGTATAAAGAACCCGGCTATGGTGAGAGGATCCAAAGGGGTGGTGACTCGACAGTAACGGTGCCACCAACGGATTCTCATACTACCGGTGCAGCACAAGACGAGGTTTCTGGAATGACAAAGGACCACGAAGACACTGTTAGCAACCTGCCTACCGCACTGCTACTGCCTGTGCCGTCAGGCCCTCGAAAATGTGCGTCTTGTGGGGCGTTTCTACAACTGCAGAATATCGCGCAGATTTGCCAGGAGTGTTATCACTGTTGCTATGCACCGTCACCATCCACCAGCCCCTCTGCAGCCGAGCACGACGTCGCCCTCCGCTTAATACTCAAAGCCATGCTGGAGACAGTGCGCCGTGTGGAGCAGGGCACCCTCTCCAGCACAACAGCTCTGCAACTTCTACGCTCAATGACGACGGTGCTGCAACGTGCACGCGAGTCACAGTTACCATGGCGCGGGTGTGACCTCGCCAACGGCATGAAGTGCGGTGTACGACCCGGTGTGCCGGTGCTGGAGGACGACACGATACATGGAGCTGTGCGCGACGTTGCGGAGATCATCCACACCATGTGCAAGGTCGCTTGCCCGACGACGGCTCTAAATGCCGCTGTCGAGGGATCAACAGCGACCTCTTGGGATGAGAAGCGGCCGTGGGCCAGCCTCGCCCTCGATTTAACGGATTTGATGAATCACACGACTGACTATGATGAACTGGGATTCGATGTCCTTATCGAACTCTGCACGCTCTTGAGACCGCAGCAGCAGGAGCATATCCATCGCGAGACCCTGTGGGCATACCTCCGGCATATGAAGTTGCCGCGGGAGTGGATTGTCAACAGCGTCGTCTGCCCCACCTGCTTGCTGCCAAAAGCGCAAATGAATGGAGCAGCGAGACACACATGCCGCTGCAGCGATGTTGGAGCTGCTAGTGAGGCACAGCTGCCCACTACAAGAGTGTTGTGAGAGCAGCCTGACAGTAGCGCTGCGGATGTGAACGAGCAAATCACATCTCTGCTTGAATGGCTCGCCAAGTGAAAAGGTGGCCCACGTAGCCTCCCATCTTTTTTTTCGTGGTCACTGCTTCCGTATTGGTGTGATCACCTACTCATTCTCTCTCTCTCTCTCCCCGTCTGGTGGCGAAGCAAAGGGGACTACAGAAGTATGAATCACATCCTCCTCCTTGGTGACTCGCTGACACAGCAGGGCTACCTGTCCGGTTGGGTGTCGCGCCTCAGCAACTGCTACATTCGCCGTGCGGATGTGGTGAACCGTGGACTGAGTGGCTACAACTCGCGATGGGTGCTGGATATCCTGAAGGACGATGCGCGGCGGGTGCACCTGCTGCCTTCAAACATTAGCCGGCCGTTGTTTGTGACGGTGCTGCTTGGATCCAACGACGCTGCTGCAACAGGGCAGAAAGTACCGCTGGAGGAGTATAAGGAGAACCTGAAAGCGATCATTGCCCTTGTGCGTGAGCACGCGGCCCCTATCGGCGGTATTTTTCTTCTAGCGCCGCCTCCCGTCGATGACGAGGCACGTTCATGTTGGATGAGGAATGTCGGTCGCGACCCTGATGTCTGCGGCCGCGGTCTTGTGGCAGTGCGCTCATACCGCAATGCTGCACTGCAGGTTGGGGCCGAGGAGAATGCGGCGCACAAGGATGTCACTGTGATCGACCTGTACCGTGTGATCTTGGGCGACGGTGCAGACACAATGCCGTACTCGAAGGGTCCGTGGTGTGAATATTTCTACGATGGCCTGCACTTCAACGAGGCCGGGGGCCAACTCGTCTTTGAGGCGCTGTGGGACGCGATTCAGAAGTCTGCCAAGGCCCAGGAGATTTTGCCGGAGGCGCTTCCGTATGTTTTGCCCCCGCACGATACACTGTGGGCTGCGGGCAAGTGAGCGCTGCATGCTGATAAGGTTGTGAAAAGTGTGCCAGTGCTAGAATGGTCGCAATGGTGCGTTGCTGTTTTGTTTTATGTGTGTAACATCCGTGAGTGGGTTTAATTGATTTGCTTTGCGCTCATCATTGTCTCATCGCTGCCCGCCTCGCCTCTCGTTGATGTTAAGAGGATCCCTTTTTTTTGTGGGTGATGCACGCAGGCGTGGAGCCGTGGCTCGCGGACGCGCGTGGGCGGCGGACGGAGGCGGTCCTGAGCGTGGCGGAGGGGCTCGAGTGCGGCCCATTCTGCGCGGGTGCGGGGCCCTCGCCCCTCCTTTACCGTGCTCTCGTGACGGCGTATCTTGTGCAGAACGACGTGCTCAACGCGACTTGGGCGCTGCGGAGGTGGGCGGTTGCGAAGCCGGCGGGCGGGGATGAGCAACAGGACCGGGTGCGTGAGTCGCTCGAGAGAGTCGCACAGCACTGCGGCCGCTACGCGTACAGCGAGGCCTTCAGGGAGGCTGCTGCTGCTCTGCTTGGTAACGCAGCCGCAGAGGGCGTGACGCTTCTCGGGGACTGCCTGCTGGACTACTTGGCCGCGCGCCACACTCACCAGCGGAGGACCTTTTACGGCGAGGATAGTCGTATGGAGAAGCACGCATCGGAGCTTGGAGTGACGCCTGCTGATTTGGAGGTGCGGCTGCAGCGTGTGCGGGATGATGGTCTGCAGCGCATAGAGGGCGACGTGGGGGACGACACGAACGAGAGATTGCGCGAGGCGCTGTGCTGCATGATGGAGGCCGGGAGAGTGGTCTGATACAGGTGTGTGTGAGTGTGTTTGTGTGAGAGGGCGACTCGCCATTGTTTTGGTTGTGCACAGGTGTGGTCTTTCTATTGCCTGCGTGCGTGTCTTGCGCCCGTTATCCACACTGGTGCGCTGCCTGCTGTTGCGCCTTCCCGTTGATGCTTACCGAGTGGGAGAAAGAGTAGAGGGCTTGGTGGGTAGCGTAGCGATGCTGCAGCGGAGCGCGGCGTTCCTGTTGAAGGCCCGGCCAAAGACAGTGAACGTGGAGCCGGGCTCCAACCGTCTGCTGGAACCGGCTGCTCTGGCGAAGGCAAAGGACATATTTGCGGTGCCGGAATTCCCAGGGAAGCGTGTGCTGCACAACTGGCGCTTCTTCATCAAGGCGGGGAAGGCGGCGACGGGACCCCCGGTGGGGCAGGAGTTCTCTAAGCTCGGCCTGAAGGCGATGGACTTTGCCAAGGTTTTTAATGACCGCACGAAGCCGCATTTCAAGGACGATGTGGAGCTGATTGTGCGCATCCAGGTCTACTTTGACAAGTCGTATCGATTCGTAATTGAGCCACCGCCGACCGCATGGTTCATTCTGCGCGCGCTGAGGAAGAAGCGGCGTGAGACGGGCCCCGTGCCGATCCGCGGGCACTACTGCGCCCTGATGACTTTGGAGATGGCGTACGAGATCGCCAAGATGAAGCCGCAGAGTTGGGGCAGGCCGGAGTACCCGCTCATTGAGACGCGTGTACGCCGTGTGGTGGGCCAGGCGCGCCGGTTGGGCGTCTGCTTCATTGGCGTGGACACGCCGCACAGCTCCCCCGTGAAGGGGATGACGGAGAAGCAGTATGCGGAGGAGAGCGAGAAGTACCGCAAGATCCACATGGAGCAGTACATGGCACTGCGGCAGCGGGAGCTGGAGGAGGCACCGCTGATTGAGCGACTGCACCGCCCCAACCTTGCCCCACTGACGGACGGGCAGATCGAGGAGGGGCTGCAGGACCCCAGCCTTCTGCATGCCCTGTGGAAGGCCAGCCACCCGAAGAGTCCGTACCACAAGGACCTGAAGCAGCGCGAGATGGCGCGCCGCTACCTGAACGCGAGGGGGTGGGTGAAGGACATGTCACTGGAGGAGATGCAGCTGGTCTTCATGAACTACCGCCTCCCGGAGATTGAGCGCAGCAATCAGATGGATGAGGGGAAGATGGAGGGCCAGGTGTACTGGACAAGAGACGGTCCGCAGCAGTGAGGGGCTGTGTGACTGCCTCCTGCTCTGCTAGCCTGACCAGATTCCTGGTGCTGCAGCGTGGATTACTCCGAGTAAGTGATCACGTAGCAGTTTTTTTAATTCTGTTTTGGTGGCGCGGTGGGAATGTGAGTCTTCTGGTACGTGTGCGTGTGCAGGATGCGACGATAGCACAGGATCCGTCACCTTGATCTGTTTCGAAGTGCTCCGCCATTTGGCGCTGCGTGGTGCCCGATGAGGGGCTGCGTGCCGGGTGACCGAGCGTGCTGTGTGCCCTGTGCTGGCGGGATGTGGTGTTGTGGGGGCGGTGCGGTTGCTTGCTGTTTGCATCTGCTCGTGTGTGCGGTAGGCGGGATGCCGGCAACGGAAGCTGCGCTGTGGGCGGACAACCAGTGGATTCTGTACGTGAGTCTGGACGCCCTCGATGTAGCCATCGTTGTGCGAATAGGAGCAAGGTGACGTGGGGTCTGATGTTTTTTTTGTTTCTCTTCATTCTTGATAACCGCTGTGTGACCTATTGGGAGTTGATGTTGACGAGTCTTTTCCCTGCTCTCTTGTGTTGAATCTTGATGACAGTCTGAAATAAGGCGGATGGAAGCTCAAGTGTATTTTTGGTTTCTGGCTCTCTGCGTATGTGTTGCTGCCTGTGAGGTGCTCTGCCCCTACACGAAGGTGGAGGAGAGTTTTGGCATGCAGGCGATGCACGACTTCCTTTTCTGCCGCAGCACCGCCTGCGGGGACCATATTGACTTCCCAGGGGTAGTGCCGCGAACGTTCTTCGGGGCCTGGCTCACTGCTGTTTTGGCGCTGCTACCCTTTGCATTTGTGGTGGAGCCGGTGAACGCTCTGTTTGTTCTGTGGCTTCACCGCCTAGCTGGGGCGGAACACGCACCGCAGGAAGCCGCTACACAGCTGCTTTCGATTGAGCGGGTGGTGGTGGAGAACCCAATGCTGCTCTCGCACGCGTGTCGCCTCGTCTTGGGCTTCTTGGTGTGCGGCGCACTGTGTTATGCGGCAAGGGGCATTGATGTATGCGAAAAGACAGTAGTCTTGCCGGCTGGTCAGGTTGGTCGCTTGCAATGTCGTGCATCATCTGTTTTTTTGCTCTTGTGCATCGCGCAGTTTCACTTGATTTTTTACGCGACACGCCCACTGCCAAACACGTACGGCCTTATTCTCTGTACGCTGGCGTGCGGTTGCACGTTGCGTGGGCGACATTATAAATCCATCGCGTTGCTGAGCGCCGCGGCAGCGCTCTTTCGCTGTGATATTCTTGTGCTACTTGTGCCGTATGCACTATTCCTGCTGCTGCGGCGTGACGTTTCGCTGGTGTGGGGTGTAATGACTGGTATTTGTGCAGTGGGGGTGGCGCTTTACTGCAGTGTGGGCTTGGACAGTTTTCTATGGGGACGTTGGCTCTGGCCGGAGAGCGTCGTGTTGCTTTTTAACACAGTTGAGAATCAGTCGTGGCGATGGGGGCGAATGCCGCCGCATTGGTATGTCTCGCGTGCACTTCCACGCGCCCTCTTGCTCGCCTATCCGCCATTGCTCCTTCTGGTGTGCCTGGCGTGGTGGAGTGTGTGCTGTCGACGCCCTACAAATACGAACATGACTCCATCATCATTATTCTCTCGGCCGTCACATTTTCGCCGACTCTTCTCGCTTTGGGTGGATGTGAGTGTGCGGCACCGCGTATTGCTAATTCCCGGAAGTCTATTTGTGGCTTTGTACAGCATGCTGCATCACAAGGAGATCCGTTTCATCATGGTGGCGTTCCCGTGGCTTCTGGCACCGGTGGCAGCCGCTGTCTCATTGTCATTGAATGAGTTCATCTTGGCGCCGACGCCTTCTCCAGTGGTGAATGAGGTGAAGAAGACAACTCTAGCTGAGAAGTCCATGACTACCACCATCACTAGTAGTAGTAGTAGTAGTAGCAGTAGTAGTAGTATTAGTAGGATTAGTAGTAGCAAAAACAAGAAATCTGGTTGGAAGGTAGGTGTCGTTGTTACGCTTCTGGCGTTTTACGCCTTGCAGCTGGGGACGGTGATAATATCTGTGCACATGAGTATGTACAACTACCCCGGGGCCGAGGCGTTAGATCGTCTGCATGATATCATCACAGAAGACATTCAGAACGCATCCTCCTGCACAAGCAGGTTGCGATTGGGGGAGCCGGACAAGATTGCTTCCGTCACGTTGTTCATTGATGCATACGCGGGAATGACAGGCATCAATCGCTTCCAGAAGAAACATAACCTGCAGCGTTCGTGGAGGGGCGGCGAGTGGGCTGCAGACTCTGGTGATGCACCGTACACCCTTCAACACCGGCTTGCTGCCCTTGTAGTGCTGCCGCTCGCCGTGCAGTTTCGGGTTGTGGAAGAAAAGGATCCCAATACGGGGCGCTGGCGTGAATATAACTTTGTTGACACAACTAGTCTTCAACCAAGTGTTTTTGACCTTGATCATGCCGCTGATGGTGCTGCAGTTAACAGTGGCGACCTGTTTCCGGGGGCTGTGCGGCTTCGGTACAGCAAAGACCCCTCGCTGTTTGATGAGGAGCATGACGTGTACCGTAGTGACGGGCTCGACTACCTGCTGGTACGGTACTCACAACGGGAGCTTCACCGTCAGCGCGGGGAATTTGAGGAAATTTTCACAGTGCATTTACCGAGTTGGACAGCGTTGACGAGACGTTGGATGAGACGCTTGACGTTCTTAAAGCAGAAGTCTGTTGCTATTGAAGATACGGAGGGAGAGCCATTTCTTTTGGCGCTGCGACGTCGCTGCTAGTGATGTGTCCTTGTGAAGCTTTGCGAGCCACCGACAAGGTTTGGCTGTGTAGTGTGGTGCTGTCTATGTGGATGCAGCATAAGTGTCTATGAGTGATATTTGGGGCTGTGACGGATGCTGAAGGCGTTTTCTTTTCCTTTCTGTGCGTACAGGCATATGTATATGTGTGTTTGTAGAGGATGACGTGACGAACGGGAGGTTGGTGGTGGGAAGGATGGTGTTGATGTTTCTCTGACGGTTGCGGGCACTTTGGGAGGTGTGCGGGCCGGTAAACGGTTGTGGTGTGCACGGCGTGGGCGATGCGGCGTGCCCTCAGGAGTTTGTACGGTAATATCTGGGGATCGCTCTCTCTCTCTCTCTCTGTGGACGGTGTTGATGAGTGTGAAATGGTGTTTTTGCTGCAGTTCGTGCGAAGAGAGGTGTGGGCTCTGAGGAAATCAACTGGTCGCGTGAGGAGGGAGGTAGGGAGGGGGAGTGGGGTCGGCTTTGGCTTTGACATTTTGGTGTGCTAGCGGGGTGAAATGGAAACGAAACGGAAAAGTAATATTCGTAAGAAACAGATACATACGCAAAAGATGCGTGCGTCTCACACATACCACGGGTAAAGGCAACTTTGGGCGGGTGGGGGAAACTGATTTGCTGGTCATGTGCGCATGCTGCTGTTCACATCAATAGGTACAACAAACACCACCACCGTCACATCTCATACAAATATGCACACATTGGTTGCTGCCTTGAATCCTTCCTGATGCTGAAACAACAACAACAACAACAACAACAAAACAAACCGACTCTGGGCCTGGCAGTGTACTCATTCCGCAGTCACACAACCATACTAATCTGGAGGGAAAAGAGTCAGGCAGGTAGGTGAAAGACAATAAGAAGGAAGAAAACACTAACTAGAACTCAAAGTAAACGAAGGCCGACTACACGGAGTACTACAAAGTAAAGGAGGGATTCTATACTCTTCCACGAAATGCCGCCGTACACAATTCAAGTGAGAGGTCTTCCGGAAGAGACGAGCGAAAACGCCGTTCGCGACTTCTTTAGCCGTGTGGGCGAAGTGACTGAATGCGCGCTGAACGGCACCGCTGCAACACTTTCGTTTGACAACGCGGACGACTTTAACGAGGCGCTCAACATGGACGGCATAGAGTTCGAAAAGGGTGCCACCATTCAGGTCGATAAGAAGGAAGCAGAGAAGACAGAGGAGGAGCAGCAGAAGCACGAACAGAATGAGGCTTCCGGCGACAACTGCAACAACAATGCAAATGGAGCCAAGACGGCGGAGGGAGACGATGCCGCGCCAGCGGAGTCCCGCAAACGTTTCCGTGAAGAGTTCAAGATTGCGGTGCGTCACCTCGCGGAGAATACGACGGAGCAGCAGCTGCGCGATCTCTTCGAGCCACTTGGTGCCATCAGTGATCTTTTCCTAGAGCCNGGAGAATACGACGGAGCAGCAGCTGCGCGATCTCTTCGAGCCACTTGGTGCCATCAGTGATCTTTTCCTAGAGCCGCGCCGCCGCTACGCATTTGTTGGCTTCGACAACGCCGAGTCCCTTGAGGCCGCGCTGCAGATGACCGGGCGCGAGGTGAACGGCGTCGCCATCGAGGTGGAGAAGAAGCGCGCCGGGCCGCGCGAGAACGTGCTGGAGTGCAAGGTCGTGGCGAAGGGGCTGCCGCCCAACACGACGGAGGACGCCCTGCGCGCCTTCTTCGCCCCCGCCGGGGAGCCAGTCGACCTCTTCATCCACGACAAGAAGCAGTTCGCCTTCATTGGCTTCGCCGACGAGCAGGCGTGCAGCGCGGCGCTGCGGCTCAGCGGGGCAGAGCTTGACGGCCACCGCCTCGAGATTGAGCGGCGACAGCGGCAGCGCTGCTTCAAGTGCAACAAGGAGGGCCACGTCGCGCTGCAGTGCCGCGCGGCGGATCAG